GGCGTGGCCTGACTATGGCAGCTAGTGCTGGGGGTCAGCTGATGATCCTCACTGTCAGTTGAAAACTGCATTTCCAGCACTGAGTATCTCTCTTGGGGGCTCCTTTAAGTGTGTATTCCTCTAGCAGAACAACTATGTCATGTTACACACACACACACACACACACACACCTGTTCTTTTAGGTAGAATAGGTAGTCATCACAGAAAGAGACCCAGCCTTTGGTGTTTGTGATAATCTATAACATGTTGTTTGTATGACTAGGGAATGAAATGGAGGAGTGTCACACAGGAGAGTAGACATGGTCACAGAGTGTATGGTGGCATGGCGCCTTAATGGGCTGCTTGAAGTGAGCTAGCTGGTACCATGTGGTGCTACAGGGTTCATTTACTCCCTCTTCCCCGCGGCCTCTTCTCTGGGTTGCTGCTCTCCAGAGATTCAAAACTTTGGATGGTGTGTTGATGGCAGACAGTGTGTTGATGGTGGATGGCGTGTTGCTGACAGACAGTGTGTTGCTGGTGGGTAGTGTGTTGTTGGAGGATGGTGTGTTGTTGGAGGATGGTGTGTTGATGGAGGATGGTGTCTTGATGGAGGATGGTGTCTTGATGGAGGATGGTGTCTTGATGGTGTGGATGGCGGACGGTGTGTTGATGGAGGATGGTGTGTTGATGGCAGGTGGTGTGTTGATGGAGGATGGTGTGTTGATGGCAGGTGGTGTGTTGATGGTGTGTGGTGTGTTGATGGCAGGTGGTGTGTTGATGGCGGGACCCTGCTGGCGAGCTCTCTGCGTACATGAGACCGGCAGAGTCCACTCAGCTATGTGGGAAGCAGCTATTGTGAGGTACAGAGGGTGGCTGTGCTGCTGGTAGTGGCTGGAACTAGTCAGAGTGCTCTTTGGCTGTCTTCCCATAGCTTTTAAAAGGAAGACTGTTATCTGGTCTGCAGTGACGTACTTTTAAAATGTTAAAGAGACATGGGGGTGATTATGGCTAGGGGTGTAGCTCTGAGGCGGGACTCTTACCACAGTTAACAAGGATCTGGATTAGAGCCCCAGAACCACAGAAAGAGAAGTTAAGACACAGTGATGTCTGAACAAATTCTTTTTGTTAGAGAAAGCAAGCATATCGAGACATTTAAAAAGCATCGTTTATTTGTGCTGAGTTAAGCTTCAGCTTGTCTTCCACTCACGGTGTTTAGGGCCCTGGTAGGAAGGTTTTAATAACTAATTCCAAAGCTGTAAAGCTGTATCAAGTGTTCTAATTTGCTGCCAGTTGCTTAATTGACCTTGTGAAAATAATTGAATGTCTAACCTGTGTCTTTCTGTCCAGTCCTTAAGCATTCTAGTTTTTGCTAAATGAGGTATTAGTGAGAGCCTGGCAGAGCTCTCCCTGTGTGGTTCAGGACGTTCTGCTGTGGTTTAGCCAGCTGATTTTTCTCCTCATGTGTTCTGATCATGGCCTCCTTGGCCCCCATTGCTTTACAACATGCCAAGAGCATGGGGGAGTAGAAAGCACTACAACACTTTGAACAATGATCACATCGAAGGCTAGCTATTCCTACGGTTTCTGTGTGATTGTGACATGCGTGTTCACACCAGTCAACATATTGTAAAGGAGAGAAAGTGAGTTGTGTGAGCACTGGGCCCTCGTCTACTGAGGAAGCTTGGCCCAAAGCCTCTGACACAGCTCTCAGCATCTGTTGAATGTAAGGGCATTTACTGCAGTGTGGAGCGCTCTGTTTAAGAGAAGGGATTTGAGAAGGGATTTATAAGGAGCTCCTGGGGCCAAAGGTCACTGGTAGTCCTGTAGGTAAAATTCCTTGCTATGAAGTCTGTGTGCTAAGTGTCCCCCTTTGTTAGCATGGGTTCTTCTACGAAGTCAAGAGGGTGGAAACTGAAGACAAACAAGCCAGACCAAGCTTGGTGCCTTCTACAGTTTACATTTCATACAGGATGGCTCCAAATTATGTTCAGTTGTTTGCATGTTATGCTATAATCGATTATGAATGTCAGAGCTTTCTTAGGGAAGCTGTATCTGTCTGCTGCCTCCTGCACTCAGCCTTGCATTTCTCCTCTGGCAAAAGTTTGCTCTGCCTGCGCCCCTGCTTAACCTCTGCCTGTTTTATGTAGCGTACCTTCAGAAGGCTATTTTCGAAGATTTTTTTTCTTGATGCCTTCCATTAGATTAAATAACAGAAATTGCAAACCAAGTTTGGCATGTCTAGTGTACGTTCGCCCTATTCAAATAACATGTAAATGTGAAATGTTAGTGACAAGATTAAATCTGTTTTGCCCATTTTGTTTGTGACTGCTGATTGTCAGCTAGTTTCCACTCTCTTAGAAACAGAGGTCCAGTTTAATTCCTCGTGCTGCGAGACACACAGCAAGGATAGCCTCACTTCTGAGCCCCGTAGCTTTGTATGACCCAGCTCTAGCCAGTGAAGAGTCACCTCAATGTCGCTGACCAGTAATGAAGGTCTCCAACAGAGTACTTTTTGCCTTTCCCCCTTCTTTCTGCCCACTGCATGTTTGCAGACATGATGGCAAGGCTTCAGCAGCAATTTTGGACCCCTGATGTAATGTAGAGACTGGAAGATACAAAGTATGGAGGATAGCAAAGGAGAAACCTGGCGAGAATCTGGTTTCCGACCTTACAAAAGCTCTTTATCGTCTTTGTGCACCTTTGAGAAAATTAGCCCCTCAAATTTTTGTGTTTGACTTCTGGAGTTCAAGAAGCAGTTAAATCAAGATGGTAAACTGTATGCCTTGCTGCAGAGCTGCCTTTAGTGAAGTGTGCAGTGGGAAGGTCGGAGATCTGCTGAGATCACATGGACGTGCCGAATGGTCACTCATTAGTCAGTGCACCCTGGAGGTAGAAACCTCAGCCTATGCAAAATATTTAAGAGAATCTTCGGAACATGCATATGAAGTCATGGCTGTCCCACATTGTCAGCACCACAGAGCAAAAGTGCTGCATGACCACGGATCAGAACCTCACCAGAGCCCATGGGTCCCCACCATCCCAGAGGGCTTGGCTCCAGCCTCAGTGGGAAATTCTTAGTGTTGTCAAGTGTCCAGTAGGTTAAAATCTGCAAGTTAGGGATGCTTTTCAAGGATTAAAAAGTTGTTGGTTGGAACTAGAGAGATGGCTCGGTGTTAAGGCCCTTACTGCTCTAGAAGATGACCTAGGTCCAGTTCCCAGCATTCATTCGGGCAGCTCACAAGCACCTGTAGTTGCAGCCCCAGGGCATCTGGCTCCTCTTCCCTTCCTTTCCCCAGAAGATGCTGCAGTGAATTGGTGTATGGATGGACCTTTAGCCTCTGATCTGTGTTTACCCTAAATTGGGCAGTTGTACCACTGTCTTTCTTTGGAGCTGAGGAGTCCCTGAGGTACTGACAGAGCTAAGACCAAGTATGTATCCTGACTCTGGAGAGCAACCTTCCTCAGTAGGGAGAACACATCTGAATGAGGAGGAGAGCGAGTGAGATGATGGATAAGCGCGTTTGTGAGCGAGCATCTCCAGCAGCACAGAGGCCCATAGAGCAGTGAGCGGTGTAGGACACAGCCAGCTTCCTCATAGCTGCTTTCATTTCTGCTGAGTTAGAATTAGCTTACAGTTCACACGCCACCAAGCACTCTCAAGTTTGTGAACTGATCTTGTCAGAATTTGGGAAATTCTCCCCAGGCTGAAATGGAAGCTCAATGGAACTGTTTCTGGTGGGTGGATTCCTGGTAGCCCTGTTTGTCTGCTGCTGTCTGCTGGTGTGGTTTTGGCTTAGGTCAGTGACTGGGAGGAGGGCCTATCCTTGCCAGACCAGCTGTGTCCAGGTGTCCAGACCATTCTGTGACATGTATTCTTACGTGCTTTGGCGTTAGCGGATGGGTAACTCAAGTACACTGGAATCTTTCTTGAAGCACATAGGTATCTCTGGTCCTGGCTTATTTTTAGGAAGGAATTCTTTCAGATCATCACATGCCATTCGTCTCTCTCTCTTCCACCTTTCAGGAGGGACACAGAGATTACCGCGTGCCATCGGGATGTCCTTGGCCAAGGAACTCATCTTCTCTGCACGAGTTCTTGATGGTCAAGAAGCCAAAGCTGTAGGCTTGATCAGCCACGTGTTAGAACAGAACCAGGAAGGGGATGCTGCCTACAGGAAGGCACTGGACCTGGCGAGAGAGTTTCTACCTCAGGTACCAGTGAGAACATGTGTCCATTTGAGATCACTAACACTCGGGCATAGTACAGCGCCCATTTCACGACCTGAGGTGGCCCTGTCCTGCCTCAAGTAAAGCAATTAAAATAAGACTTGAAGGTAATCCTAGGATTTCACGGGAGACAGACATACAGACAGACTCATGGCACACATGTGCACCACACACACACACACACACACACACACACACACACACACACACAGAGTGTAACTTCCTAGGCGAAACCTAGCTTGTTTACCAACTTAGACTCCAACCTAAGTCATCTCTGTAGAGACAGTGATGGGCAGGCTGCTACCTCACATTAAAGCATGACACCCTGCCTCCCACTGAGTCAGGAGACTGCATGTGCACACTCCCGTGGAGGCCAGGCTTGCTGTTGGTGTCTTCCTCCATCGTTTTCCACCTGTGTACTGAGGAGGGGGTCTCTTTCTCGGGCCCTGAGCTATGGAGCCCAGCTCATTGGTCCACTCAGCTGCTCTCTGCCTGTTTCTACCTCCCCAAGTTCTGGGATTACAGGGTGGCTGCCACACCAACCTGCCTGTCATGTGCATTGAAGATCTGAACTCCCAGTAAGCTTGTTACCCACTGAGCCCTCTCCTTGGCCCTACTGCATTGTGTGTTAACCTAAAAAGACCATTCAATACAAAATATAGCATCAAATTGACACTCACCTCCTGTAGATAGATGTAAACCAAGATCAAAGACCTCAGTTCTGTTTGCAGAGTGTGACCGTCTCAGGGTAGTGATGGCAGCTGAGCTTCCACAGCCTGTGAGTGTCTCTGTCTTCTCAGAGAGGGCGTTTAGTTCTTCCCTTCTTAACCCAGACATACCTGAGGGGGACATACCTTTGTCAGCCCACCATCTCTGCGGTTAGCTGTGTATGCTGAGAGGACAGCCCGGTCGATCCCTGTGGGCTCTCCATGCTGCAGGAAGAGGTAGCGAGTGCATCAGTGACGACACAGAGCCTGACTTCACAGCCCAGCTCATCTCCAGCCTGAGCTTCAGGCTCTGCCCCTGTGGTGAGGTGCTGAGCCGGCAGACTCCCCACACTCCCCTCTGCTTCCTGTGGAAGGACAGTGACTAAAGAGTGCTGGACATTTAAAGGACACACCTCCTGCTGCCTTATGACCCAGTGTGATCAGTGACAGCCACTCTGAAGTCCAAGAAGCTCAGAAAATCAGTTTCTGTCTCGCATCCTGGTTGTTGTTAGCTGATCTGTGGATCCTGCATTGAGATTATAGGAATTATGCTTAGGTATTCTGTATAATTTACATAAGTTTTAATTAAAACTTGTTTTTTGACTTTGAATTTCAGGGGCCTGTTGCAATGAGAGTGGCCAAACTAGCGATTAATCAGGGGATGGAGGTGAGTGTTTCTGGTGCTGCAGGGGAGGGAGGCTGCTCCTGGGAATCAGCTTAGACATCCGGGTTATTTCCTGTACTCTGGAATAGAGCTGCGGTCATATTGACTGAAGCTGCTGGGATTCCTTTCAGAGCCATAGATACAAGGTTCTGGCGTCCTGACAGCTCATGGCAGCCTTGTTCTCTTTGACATTGCCTTAGTGGGGTCCTCAGCCAGTCCCTGGGGAAACAGGTTCCTTAGCCAGATCATAATTCTATCGGTAATTAAAGGAGAGCCGCCCAGCTCTGCCGAGTGTCCTGCTTTACCTGAGCAGGGAGAAGCACTGAGCCCAGGCTGGTCTGACGTGTTTGTGCATCACACTGGGAACATGACCATAAGGAGGGGTCCTGGGCTGGAGGAACAGTGGACAGTGCAGATTCTCATAAACTTTGGAACTCACGTGTATGCATGTGTGCATGTGTGCATGAGTGTGCAAGTCTTTGTTTAACCCTCACTGTACCTCTTCTGTAGGGAGTAGTGCAGCTAGGTCCTTGTCAGACATGCCTCTGAAGCAGAGGGGGCCAACAGCTTTCCCAAGCTGCACAGCTTCAGATGGTGGCGTCAGGCTGCGACTTCAGGAGCCGAGTTGGAGGTCTCAGGTTGCACATGCTTTAGGACAGTTGTGCTATATTGAAGGATTCTATTATTTTAGATTGTTTGAGATTATATTGAATCTTCCTTATTGTGCTAAAATACATTCTTATCCTCAGGTCGACTTAGTAACGGGGTTAGCCATAGAAGAAGCCTGCTATGCTCAGGTATGTAACATGGTCATACAATCAGGGCATGATAATTACACGGGGTTCTGTTTCTGTGTGCATTCTTATCCTTGGGGGTGGGTACATCTGAGATTTTGCAGGGATGCCCTGCTACATGCTGATGGTCTTTGTGGTTTGTTGGCTATTCCTGGGATTTTGAGCCTACTGTCTTCACTGAAAAAGAAAACCATATGATCATATGAATGGACCCCTCCCCAAAACAAAAGTCTTTGTCAAGTTCTAGTCCTTATTCACCATCACAGCTCTCATAAAGTGTGAGCAGAGCAGGCCTGTGCTGACGTGGTCCCTCTGTCAGGATCAAGGTGGTGGTGTCCTCTCACTTCCTCTCAGCGCCGGGCTAGGAGCCAGGCTAATGCAAGAGAACGGAGTTGGAAAGGTAGAAATAAAACTGCTGACATAGCTGAGGAAATTCCAAAAGATCCACAGTGGAAACCCTGCTCAGAAGTCAGCAAGATCGTACTGACCCTGCACACCAGCAACAATGGAAACCCTGCTCAGAAGTCAGAAAGAGCGCACTGACCCTGCACACCAGCAACAATGGAAACCCTGCTCAGAAGTCAGCAAGAGCGCACTGATCCTGCCCACCAGCCACAAGGGAAATAATGGCTAGTATCTTGGTAGTCAAAACATTTAATAAAGAATGCACAAGCTCTAGAGGAGAAAACTAGTAAGCACTGGTAGCAGAAACCATGATCTACATCATTAGCTGTTCATGTTGGAGGGCAGGATGAGTCCTGCGGTGTGTGGTGGTGCACACCTTTATGTCAGCTCTCCGTAGGCAGAGGCAGGCGTGAATTCCAGGTCAACCAGGGCTACATAGTGAAGTGAGGCCTTGTTTCCAAACAAAGATAAAGCGTCTGTACATTTAATTCAATCACAGCAAGCATCTTGACTCCTAACTTTATGGATGGAAGGTTGATTCAGAGTTCATAGCTATAGAACAGATAGCTCTGTGTGGCCAGAAGGTACTGCTGGGAGACCAAGAGTACCCAGACTTCGTGATGCCGCTGATGAGAGAGCACGTCAATGGACCCAGGGCCTCACTTGGGAGCCCACTCATTCTAACCATGGACACTTGGACAGAAGGACAGCAGCCGCTCAGTGGAGAGCGATGGGCGTGAAGGCAGCAGCATGGAGCACTGGGCGTCTGCGTACGTGGAGTGTGCACAGAATGAGGTTCCAAATGGACTAGAAGCTGTGTGTGAAATGAGCAACTGTAGAATGGACAGATGGTTAGGTGTGGGGGGACGGTCAGCCCTGGTGTGTGTGTGTGGGGGCGATCAGCCCAGGTGTAGGGGGGACGGTCAGCCCCGGTGTGGGGGGGCAGTCAGCCCTGATTTGGCAATGCCAAACCCTCAAGAGAGAGGAGTGGTGGGTTTGGCACTGCTGAAAGGATGGAAAGGACTGTGCTGGATGGGAAGTCTTTCCAAAACATGGATCGGATGAAGGTCTCACATCTTAGACACAGCAGGAACTTTGAAGACTGCACAATAAGGTAGTGAAAACCTCTTTAAGAATGGACAAGAGGGACTGGAGAGATGGATCACTGGTTAAGAGACTGCTGCTCTAGAGGTCCTGAGTTCAATTCCCAGCAACCACATGGTGCCTCACAACCCTCTGTAATAGGATCTGATGCCCTCTTCTGGCCTGCAGGTGCACATGTAGGCAGAATGCTCACACCTTAGATAGAGGGACAGACAGACAGACAGAGACAGGACAAGAGATCTGAATAGATGAATAAATAAAAGAACAGAAGGAGATCTGAATAGTTCTCTTGCTGCAGTAGATGGGCAGATGGCACACAACCATTTGAGACTTTGCTGGAAGTTACCTGTCATTTGGAAACTGAAGTATGTGTTAAATGACCAAACCTCAGGACAGTGGGCACTGACCATGGCTGCCCAGGCGTTAGTGGTTCTGTGGCCCCAGCATGGATGGCAGTTTGAGGAAAGCCTTGGTGCCCACTACCATGTTGCCCAGCAGCTATGTCCTTGGATATTTGCCCAGATAAGGTGAAAGCATCTCTGCCCCAGAACCTGCCGCTAAACTTTATTCATAGTTACTAACTTAGAAACAGTAAAGATGTCTGTCCTTCATAGTCAGGCTTAGTGGCACATGATTCAAATCCAACAAAGTTCAAGGCTAGTGAGCCACACCTTGGGACTTTGAAGGTGGCCTCCACTATGTAGTGAGACCCTTTCTCAAGAACGAATAAATAAATAAATAAATGTCCTTCATTCAAGCCTGTCCTGCCTGTCAAGCAAGAAGAAAATGGTGTAAGGGAGCCTTGACTTCATGGCGCTCAGTGAAAGGGTCCAGTCTGAAAGGACTGGGTCCTGAGTTGTTCCTGACAGTCCAGTGACATCCTGGAAGAGCTGTCTGAAAGGCTGGAGACCAGTATGTGGAGAACAAAGAACGTTTGGGGCAGCTAAGTCATTCTTTGTTCACTGTGGTGACGAGCAGGTGACGTCGTGCCTCAGTCAAACTCCCAGAACACGCAGGCACACCGACTGTTCAGGAGATAGCAGTGGTGTGCTTTGACGTAGGCAGTTGGAGCTGGTGGTAGAGGGAGCCCAGGGTCTCCGTGCTGAGCTTTTCATTGGTTTACCTCTGAAAACAAAATACTGCACTTTTAAAGCATATTTGAAGTGGAAAAAAATATTTGGATTAAAACTAGTTTGCCACACACTTAGGAAATTTGTTCAAAGGACAAGTGGCCTTCTCAGCACCTGCTGGTGGCTGTTGTAGTTAATGCTTTGATGCGCTGTGTGTTTGCAGACTTTAGTGTTTCATGTTTTGTCTTTCCTAGACCATCTCAACGAAAGACAGACTGGAAGGTCTTCTTGCGTTTAAGGAGAAAAGACCCCCTCGCTATAAAGGAGAATAGGAGGAAAAGCCCGAGACGCCCTGTAGTGCTGGAGACTCCTTCGATCGGCTCCGTGTCTGGCACGGGGAATCTCAGCGACCAAAGCCGAGAGTGGGTTGGTTCTCACTACGCCTGGAGCAGGCCCATCTGTGCTCGAGCCACTGTGCGCCATGTCGTATTTATTCAGATTTATAAAGCTAGCCGTGTCTGTGGTCAAAACACATTCAAATTAGGTGTATGTTTTTAATATTCCCTGCATATCAGCTTTCTGTCGTTAATTTTTTAATGTGAATAATTTATATTGCACACTCTAGGGAATAATTGATTGTACGTCTACTGTGCTGCATCAAGAAAATAAAACTATTTCTGTATACCAAAAATGTGAAGTTATACCAAATACAGTTGCTGACTATCTGTGTACATGTCCTTTGCCACCTGAGGACCTGGGTGGACATATGAGTGAAACTCCCCAGTGTCAATAAAGCCAATGAAGATGATTTGAGAATCTGCCTCTTGCCCCTTGCCCTGCTCTTCAAAACTGATCTCTGCATGTTGGATTTTAGAATAATATTTCTGTACTGATTTTGTCATGGAACCATGTGACACGGTCCCAGAACAGGAGGTGAGTGAGGGGTTGGCCATCAGGTGGCTCTGCTTGGCTTAGCCACAGTATCCTCTGTAGAAGTTTGCAGGGCCGAGCTTTGCTGTGCTCAGATAGGACTTGGTGCTTGCCTGAGACTGCAGTGGGCCTTGTGTCCTGCAGCATATATGCATCCCGCCTCTTCCCTTGCCCTCACATCTTCATCCTGAGGCTGCCCTGCTGTTTGAGAGCACACAGACATGATTCTTAAAGTTCTCAAGAGAGACACAGTGGGCTGACCACCACCTGGCCTACAGTTGCTGTCTGTTCTGATTAGGGTGACAGCCACATGCTGCCCGTGGGCCAGCTTCTCCCTCACTCCCTCAGCCACTGAGGCTGCAGATCCACATACCTACCTGTTAGGTAGCTCAGCTAGCCAGCTGAGGAGCTCGGCTCTCTGGGGCTCTTGTCTGGTGTGCACACCTGGCCCTCAGGGGATCCTTGGGGGTGTCCCTACTTGTTTACCGAGGAAGCTGCTGAGCATGCTAAAAATGTCACTTGTATTCTGACTGGGCTGGAAGTGGTGCTGCTGATGGGAAAGGGTGTGGATCTGTAGCCAGACTGTACTTGCTGATTAATCACATTTGATTTCCTAACAAGGTGCGAGGCTAGAAGTGAAGACCTGTGGTAGCTTTAGATGGGGAGGGAGCAGGAGTTGGATGCTGGTTCTGGGTGTTTCACCTTGCCTGCTCTTTCTCTTGCTGATATCCCCGCCTGTGGCACAGAAAGGGACTGAGGGTACCAGTCACGGTTGTCCTCCAAGAAGCAGAAGCAACAAAAGCATTTCACTTCATCTCAGTGTGAGACCTGCTGGTTCTGAAGACTTAAACCTGTAGAAGACGGGTCGCCTAGAATAGAGCTTCGAGGAGATCCAGTGTCTCTACCGGCACTGACACTTGTACATAACCCTCACCCATGTACACACTCATGCATGCATATACACATACAATCAGAAATAATAAATCTTACATATATATATATATATATAACTTATAGGCCTGGGACATGCCTTTAACCCCATCACTTGGGAGAGAGACAGGCAAATCTCCCTTGGGTTTGAGGGCAATCTGGTCTACATAGGGGATTTTAGGACAGTTAGTGAGACTCTGTCTAAAATGTCTGTGTGCATGTATATGCAGGTGCCAACAGTGGCCAGAAGAGGGCGCTGGATCCCCTGGAACTGGAATTAAGACATTTATGAGCTACCTAATATTAGTGCTGGGAACCAAACTTAGGTTTTCTGGAAGAGCAGCAAGCACTCTGGGTTTTGCCCGTAGCTGTGAGCCACTCAGTGTGGGTGTCAGGAACTGAACCCAGGTCCTCTGCAAGAGCAGCAAGTGCTCTTCACCCCCGAGCCATCTCTAGCACACTTTGAAAAATAAATAAATAAAAATTAAAAAGCTAGAATCCCTTTAAAAAAAAAGCTAGAATCCCTTTTTTAAAAAAAGCTAGAATCATTTAATTCCAACACTTGGGAGGCTGAGTCAGATGGATCTCTGTGAGTAGTTCAAGGCCAGCCTATTTTACTGAGTGAGTTCCAGGATAGCCAGGGCTACACAGAGAAACTCTTGTCTTGAAAAAACAAAAACAAAAACAAAAACAAAAAAACGAGAAGACAAAGCTAGCAGCTCTGATTTTCTGTGGTTGCATCTTTAACTTTAAGGGTCATCTCTAGGTCCATTTTCTCCACCAATCGACTTACCCTCTTTTTTCCATCAAATGCATCTTTAACAGGCGGGGTCATTTTCCCAGCAGCAGCGGGAACCATGCTTTCCAGAGGTGAGGTGTCAGTTCCTGGGTACAGTGCTTTGAGAAAACGACCTTTTGGGGTGGCTGTCTGTGGTCCTATCCCTCAGTTGGCCTGCATGTCCACTTTGGTGACATACTCTCCATTAGCTCTCATTTGAAGTCCAAAGATCCCAGTTTTAAATAATAAGTCCACTATTTGTCTGCTGACCTAGTTAAATATTAACTGACAAGTGTGTCTGTGTTTATTGGGCTGTATCAAAAAATCAATTCAGATTTTCTCATAGTGTATTAAAAATAACTATGTGGCAGATGTGTCACAAAAGAAAGTATCTGAAAGTTAGTAGGGGAAAATCTGAACTTAAGAGCTGTTTACATTAATTAATAGATTGCGACTGGGGGGCAAGAAGGAGGGTCGTTTCAACCCTTTGCTCAAAATATCAGTGCTGCGAGCCCTGAAGTTCTTGCAGATGCCTATCTCTATGTTGCTACGGCCCCTCCCTTCTAGAAAGTTCTGAACTCGCCTCCCCTGCTCGAGAACTTCACTTGAACCTCACTCAGACAGCTGTGGTTGATTATTTTCTAAATTTTCAGGACAACAGGAAAACACTGTGGACCTGACAGGGAAGGTGGGGTACTCCCAAAACAGTGCACACAGGCGCCATGGAGAGCTACCCTGTCCTTTTGCTTGTCCACATTTAGAAGAGGTGGGTGATAAGAGGACCCTTCCTTGGCAAGTGACAGATCTCTGAGGACAACTGCTCACAGGAACCAGCATGGCTGTTGTTTGTAAAATCCTAACATAAAGACAGCATTGGGCAAACAGTGTGGCTCAGTGGTCGAGTGCATACTTTAACAGGCTTGCGGCCCTGGGTTCAGCTTGCAGCACCTCAAAACAAAGTGCTTTATGTAGGTTTGTTGACATGTTGTCATGGTAATGACTGAATTAGGAAGCTGCCCAGAGCTTTTCAGACACTGTTTTATCTCTTAGGACTCGTACTCTGGGTCTCCTGTGGTGCCCAGAGGAGACCAGCGCATTGAGTCAGGGATGGAAGCCAGAACTGATGACTCAGCTCTTTGTACTTGCAGCCAGCCGGATAACAGAACCACACTATGGCTGCCTGCGATGCGTGTGCTGTCTACACAGGGACACGTGTCCTTCGTCTTGATTGTTCAGTCATCTCATGACTTGGCGAGATAACGGAGGTGTGCTTATCGAATGGTGATACAGACAGGCGGCAGAGCTGACGCTCCTTGGCATTCCCCTGGCCCAGGTGCTGCACGTATGCCCGCCCATGTCCCCCCAAAGACCTCAAATGTACGTTACCCGGTTCTAGTTTAGTGGACAAGGTCAGGCGTGGAAGCTGTGCTGGGTATCTGTGCAGGACCCTGGTGCTGAATGACAGACAGCAGAAGACCTTGGGAAGTGTGGAGGGCGCTGCTGGGTGTTTGGCCTCCACCGTGAAGCCAAGTGACCTGGCCTGGTCTCTCACTGTGCCCCTGAGCCACCATTGGAACTGGGCACAACATCCAGGGTGGAGAAATGAGGCATGTCAGCCTTGATCAGAAGTGCTCAGGGTGGCTGGTTCAGACAAGGTTCCTTCTTGAGCAGTGTGGCAAGGAGGTGGGCTTCACAGCCGTAGCCAGTTTGGGGACCCTGGAGTGGCACCACCCTCCACTGCGCTTCTGTTTCCCAGGAGAGGGGCATTAGAGGCTGTCCGGGTGGGAGGAAGTTACTACATGACAGTCTCCCAGTCACTAGAGATGAGACTTGAAGGCAGGAGAAGCAGCTTGGGACACCCATCCATGCCGCCCTGCAAACAGGAAGTGGACTGTCCCAGGCAGGCCAGCTATATTAGGAGGAGATGGGGGCCAACTCTTGTGGAGTGCACCAGCCTGTTGCCTCAAACATGGATAAGGACTGAGGTATGAAGCTCTGCCTTTGTGATAGATACTGGCCTCAGGTAGAAGGCAGTCAGGCCTTAGAAATGAGGAAAATAGTATGGCCCAGGAGGGGTCTGATTGGCCACTCTGCTCCACTGGATTAACCCTGATGCAGGGAATTTGGGTGCAAGAACTGGCACCGTCATGGCCTCAATATCCCAGGGAGTAAAGAGGATTGGCGTTCAGGTGCTAGAACCCACATGAGAAAAGCTGGAATGTGGTGGCATGCTTTCAACCCCAGTGTTGGGGAGTCAGGGGTTGGATAATCCTTGGGCCTTACTGGCCAGCCAGCCTGGCATTTTTGATGGACTCCAGGTCAGTGCAGCAATGGTCAGGGGTGTCCACTGGCCTCCATGTGCATAGACATACCTGAACACAGACCTGCATGTTCATGTATGCTCCTGTACACACACGTATGTGTATGGCACCTCTACAGTACCAGTTTGTACTGGGCATATGGATTACCTTGAAGAAGGCACTGAATTTTCTCATCAGCCACTGGCTTCCACATGGTTGCCCTACTATTTCCTTTGGGCCACCTGAGTAGGAGTCAGACTGGGCTGAGAGCATTCAGGTCTCCTGCCTAAGTTTTCACTCCTGAATCTTGGCTGCCAAGACAGCTTCAAGCGCGTCAGCCCCTGAAATGTCTAGATCATCTCAGGCTCTGCCCACAGCAGCAGGACCCGTCTTAGAGCAAGTGCCTTCACCTCCCAGGAAAAGCAGCAGCCCCGTGGCAGCAGGTGACAGCGGAGGACCGAGGGCATCTAGTGGTGATGTTCACCCAGAAGGTTCTAGAGACATTTAAAAGTTGGCAGCTGCACCCTCTTGACCTTCTCAAAAATAATGAGTCACTTTCGCTTTCAGCCTCGGAACGGGTTGAATGAATCTTTTGTGTAGTCCGCAGAAGGTAAAGTGTTTGGGCAAGTAAGATAAGTCCAATTCTGAGCAGCCTCTCCCTCATTGAGTAACAGTTCTTTTTTAAGATGTCTGATAAAAATGCTTTACACAGAGCCTAGAACTGGCTCATTGAGAGGGCCATCGTTCGAATGCATTAAAAACGTAACTGCAAGATTCATGTGACATATTGTAAGAGATAGGCAGTGACGGTGACATTTAACGTGACAGGAGGTAATTCTGATGATGGACAGCTGTGATATAGTGCTATATTCTTGTTTGAGGGACAGGATCACACATTGCCCGTGCTGTCCTTGAACGGGCTACATGTTGGAGGATAGCCTTGAACTTCTGGTCCTCCTGCCTTGATCTCCCCAGTGCTGGAATGAACACATTTGGTTTATGCGGTGCTGGGACCCAAATCCAGGGCGGTGGGAACGCAAGGCAAGCATTGCAACCTACTAACCCTCATCTCCATCCCCAGGGTGTTTATTCTTAGCAGCCCATGGTGGCTGGCTCTGTTTGAAATGCCCGATAGGTGGAATTACTTGCTGTTTTAAATCTGGTCTTTTTGGAAAAGTGTAGTGTGCAGCCTGGGATTGTTAACCTGCTGTTGAGAATTGATGGGTGTAGGGTGTTTATCCTGACCCATCATTGACACCGGTCCCCCAAGTGCAGTTGTGATGCAGTGACACAAGCCCTCTGTGCTCACGTCACACCCCGTGACTGTGGTTTCTGTATGCCCATCTGAGCGTCCTGTATACAGACAGGCGTGTCTCTTGAATTTCCTGAAAAATTGGACAAGTTTAGAACTTTAGTGTTTGAAATGCTCCAGGCATAAGGGCCGAGGTGCTAAGGAAAAGAAGCAGTGTTGGCCCGACTCCAACCCCTCTTCTCTGTCTCTGTGGTCTACTACAGGTGGAAGGTGGGTAGCAAGTGTGTGCGGCATCGCTCAGTGTTATCTGCCCACCAGACCTAACACAGGGCACCCAACCCTTGCCTCCTGGGCTTGAACCTTCACATGTATCCTACCATGCCATGGGGGTAGAGGTAGAGGAAAACCCATTTCAGTTGGGATTTCTCTTTTGAAAATCTCATATTTGACAAAAGTCACCACCTGCATGTACAATTGAGTGTTTGTTTTAAGTAGATCCAGAGCTGTATAACTGTGGTCCTGGCCCAGTTCCAGGGTATTTCCTTTGTGCCCCAAACAGGTTCTGGCTAGGACTCCAAACATAGTATTGAGGAAGAGTAGAGAAAGTGGGATATGCATGTTTCGTTCCTGAATTGAAAAGAATGTGCCAGTCACCTTGACTTTCAGGTCGGGACAGACTGAGCCCTTGAGCTGTGAGCCAGAGTAAACCTTTTCTCCATATAGCTGCTTTTATCACAGGGACAGGGAAGGGGACCAAGACAGCTCAGAAAGTCACAGCTAGAATAGACAGCTGGGATTGCATGGAATTAAAATAATCTGGACAAGGAAGCATTGTTAGGTGTGTGACGGGCAACGGAACAGAGACCATTTGCTGTGCACCTGCTGGATTAACAGGAAGAACATAAAAAGAACCAAATAAGCTAATCAACAAAGGCCAGTTGAAATGAACAGGTACTCCTCCAAAAACAGAGCAAAGCTGGCCACTAAGTACTGGAGAAATGCTTAACATCCACAGGCCTTAGAGAAATGCAAACCAAAAGCACCCCGAGATTCTGCCGCACGCGCCCTGGGACGGCTGTCCTTAAACAATCAGCAGTGGAGATGTGGGGCAAAGGGGAGCACACGGCTGATGAGAATGGAGGTAGTCCAGACACTGTGGGGATCTGTCTGGAAGGTCGACCAGAACTAAAAATAGAGCTACCTTCTGATCTAACTGTATCACTCCTAGGTACACGCATGCGCAGCAGAACCGCCGCGCACCCAAGCTTGCTCTAGCGCTATTCTCAGCAGCCATGCTCCGGCGGCAACCTCAGCAAGTGTGATCTCCGTCCAAGACTGTTCACACACAAGCAAAATGAAATCATGTCATTTGCAAGACAATGGACTGAAGAGGAGATAACTGTACTTACTGATCTAAACAAGCTAGATTTGGAAAGACCAATACTGTTTTCCTTCATATACTTCAAATTTTACACACACACACACACACACACACACACACACACACAGACATGCACACAAATGCACAGTGCAAGTGGAAGGGGAATTGCTCTGGAAAAGGAAGAGAAGTAGTGGGAGGAGGGAGAAAGGACAGGGTGAGGTAAGGGATAAATAACGCCAAAGTGCACGGTCTGTTTGAACAAAAT